ACAAACATATTTTTTGGAAAAATAAACCTAAATTTTTAAAATAATTTTGACATTAAATATAGATCCTGATGTTCACCAAGATAATTGCTAACGATGAAAAATAAAACATAGCCTTTCAACCTAGCAGTCTACTAGGTCTACACTTGGTAAGTGTAGTTTGTGTCCTAATTTATCTTAATCTCGATAAAAGATCTTGATAAATATAAACAATAAATAGACTTAGTTGCTTTAAATAACTCATATACCAGATTGAATTTTTATTTATTTTTACATATCATATGATAATATTTTATTCATTTTTGCAATTGATTTTCAAAATTTTGATCAGATATATTGCATTTAGTGCTCACAACCTTCCTATCCTCTGCACCATTTAAACAGTGTTATTTTGTATATTCAACGCTAGATTTTATTTGTAATAAACAATTAAAAGTTGCAAAATTGGTTGAACAACTTTGCTTATTTAAAGAAACGTTGTTATTTTTTTTTAAATCTATTGACTTTTCTAAATCTGACTACTTGTGAAATTTTTAATATCCATCCATTGGAAACATTCCAATTTAGAGTTCTGACTAAAGAACAAAATATAAAATGCTATATTTTTATACATTTAATTATATTTCATTGCATCTATTTAAATTTTTTTGTCCATTTTTAACATTTGTTTCAAATATTTTTTTACTATAGATTTAAAAATTTTTTCTTTCTTTTAACAAATATTTTAATGATTTAAAATGGTTTACCATTGCAATCAAAGAGCTTCATGGGGCGGTCGACCCATGGGGTGCCAGGTATAATATATTAATGTGCTTAGGTCAGGCCTGGGTTTTTGATAAAAAAATTTAATGGCCTTTGACCTAATTTTTATATAAATTTAGCTTATTAAACTGTTACTAACTTAAAAATATATTGTATTTTTTTTTCTTCTAGTAATAACAAATTTCAGTATTGCAAACAAAGTGATGGCCTAAATACACTAAAATATTGTTTATTATCATTCAAAAAAATAAAAAAATTTGGATATGGGCTGGGAAAAATTTATGAAACTTAGGATGGGTTGTTTTTTAATCAAACATGGGCTGTGCCTGCAAATTATTTTTCGTGACCTGGGTCTGGGTCTGATAAATAAATCAAGACTCATGATGGACTATATTTTCAAAATCAAATATTTTCAATTCTTATCTGACTTTATTTGAAAAAGGAATAAACAAACCACAGATATGCTTTATATAAATCATTTTACAAAATTTCTGATATAATTAAATTACGATTTTAATGCTCCAAACATTTCAAGAAATTGTTGGACACTAGGAAATAAAGAAGCATTGTGAATGGAGGAAATATTAATCCTGATTATTTTGGCATAAATAACAAAAAAATTAGGCCTCTTGTGACCAGGCCTTAAGTTTATATATATTTTAGGGATCCTTTAAGACCCATTATGAAAAATATAAGTTAAATAGCTGGTCAAGAATGATGGGGAATAAAATTTTCTCCTTTATTCAATGATGGGTAATAATAATTTCACCTTTATATGATGATAGTTGAATTAGAAATTTTTCTATCTTATGAGGTTCTATTCCGAAATTTATATTTATTTAGAGAAGGGGTTATTCAAAAATTCTCCATTATTTTAATATATTTGAACAATAAAAATCCTTAAACTAAATTTTTATTCATTTTTATTTGTAATTTATAATCTAGAAAATACATTCTTGCTAGATGAGTTTTGCAATTTTCGATATAACTTTGCCCCACAAAACTCTTCTAGCAATATATTTTTAAGATTATAAATTACAAATACAAATGAATAAAAAATTTAAAAGATTTTTTATTGTGCACATAAATTAAAATTAGTAAGTATACTTCATAAACATATTTTTTTTAAAATAAATAACCCCTCATCTAAATAAATATAAATTACTGAATTACATCTCATAAGATAGGAAAACTGATCCATTGTCAAAAAAGTTAAAATATATTGTTCATCCATCATTGTATAAATGATTCCATGTCATTCCTGACGTTATCAGCTAGTATCTTTATAAAATTCTAATTTATTGAATAAAAAAAATAATTGCAATTTAAATTATGACAGATAAAATGCATATAATTAATATTTATATGTTAAGACTATGCTATTATAATATTCATTATTACTATCACATTGCCCTTAATAAATTACAATTATTAGATAAAACAGTGTTTGGCCGATTAAAAGATATTTTCAGTTGAATCTTGGATAAGCATCAATTATGGTTAATATTTTACAATCTATGATATAGTATAGTCAGGGATATTTTATATAATGGATGTGCTCCAGCTACAGTTAAAAATGATTTCAAATTATGTGGAATTTGGCCATTTAATCTTATTATTATTATATCCTAGTTTTTTTTCTATTTCTTCGATATATGTATTTATATACACTAGTGGGGGAGAAAAGTTGCACCCACTTACTATCGTTATTCCTCGTCAAAATTTAAATTTTGCATGGATCTTTTAACTTTTTTTCAATTTCGAAGGATTGTAATCGCGACTCTTTAGGAATTTTATTGATTCCTCCCATTTCTCAAGCTATTGGTTTTTTCAAAATTACTATAAAATGGCCGACCATTGGAACCTACAAAAATTACTCAATAGGTGTTTTCCATTCCTTCTCGGAGCTTATTCATAAAAAAGCATAATTTAATAGTATATCTGTCACATTGATATTGAATATATGAAAGTCCTGAGATATAATTTACCACTTTATTTTATTTCGGAACAGTTATATCTGAGATTTCATTTCTATTCCTCTTGGTTATGTTTCAAATAAATTTTATTTTCTAAAATAAATTATTATAATATTACCCCCCCCCCCCCCCAATATACATATTTAATTTTAGTTTGCGAATAATGAGTTGCCATATTTTTGCATTGAATAATTGTTAAAGAAAAAATTAAACAATTAAAATAGCTTGCTAGGACATGGCTATTGTAAAACGGCTCAATTTCGCTATCTTAAATTCAAATTTTGGCCCCATAATTTTACGCAAACCTCAAAATTTTGTTAATAAAGTCCTTTTTCTACCATCTATGAGCAAAGAAGCCAGGCGTGATTTTTTTTATAATAAATAATTTTTTTCTAACAAAATCAAAAATTCCATAACTAGGAGATTCTGAGTTATAAATTAATATTTTCAAAAATGTTCAATAATTATTAGGTTTTGTTTTGAGGCACCGCTTTTTTATTTTACATTTTTTTATAATAATTATCTTGGGAATAGCTAATGTTAAAAAAGAATATTATTAAATATTAAGCTAGCATATATTTTTTTTAGTTATTAATGATAATAAAAAGTTAAAAAATAAATAAATTCCCAGAGAAAATGTTGAAAATAGGTGTATATATGAATTCAAATCTTTTTCGTAAAAAGTATATCAAGTGAATAGTAAATAATGAAATTTAAATTTAATGGAAATTTAATTCATACAAAAATTAGTGTTATAACTTTCATAAAATCAAAAATGATTTTAACATGTTTTTAATATTCGATTAGAAAGGGGATAATTTCTTTATTTTTATTAAACTTTTTGAAATTTGTTTTTCTTCAAATTTTGGACTTAGCTTAATGTTAGTTTATTTATGCTGTTTTCATTTTCAATAATTAATATTAGATAAAATTAGTAATGATTAATATATATAAATAACAATATACTATAAATATTCTAAAAATATCTAAATATATTAAAGTAACCTTGAAATTTTTTTAGTTATTTGTTTTCAAACTCAAAATAATTGGTAATCAGAAATTTATCAAGATAAATTTCAATAAAGTAAGTCTATATTTTTTTCTTTCTTATTTATAATTATTTTATTTTGGATGTCATAATTTTCTCTAGTTTATCATAAACAAAACCAAAATATTATTAGCTTAAGTTAAATCAAAAAATATGCATTTATATGATTATTAAACAACATTCTTAATGTTTTAACTATGTGGCCTGCTATTTATAATAAGATGATGAGGCCAGATGATTTAACTTTAGTACACCTGATCCATTTATCTATATTTAAAAATTAAAGATATCTATAACAATTAAGCCACAGGCGCTACTCGAAAACAGCACTGTTTAAGCTTCAAGTAAATGCCCAAAAAGTTTAGTAGCAAAATATGAAATGCTGCAACATATTTTTTAGTCACATAGGTTATAGTGATGCAAAATCGCTCCATTTAAGCTGAATTTTAAAAACGGCTAACTCATTATTTTGGCAAAAAAACATTGCCTAAGCTTGTAGATTTTGTTCATAGACGTGTGCTTTATTACGAAATTTCCACTTTTAGGCATTATTTTTGGATAAAATACTTAGTTAGCAACTAAAAAAACTTTCACTTTAAAATTAAATCTGTGCTTATTGAGGAGAAGCAAATAATACTGTGGTATTTTTATATTTGTAAATTTTTGTAAATCTCTTGGCAAAAGCTGTCATAGAATTTTAAATAATTATAAAATTTTAAAATAATTATAAAATCATAAAATATATTGAAGGAATTAAATTAAAGTTTACTTGCTATTATGCTAAAACTTAAAATTAAGAAAGCTATAATTAATTCAATTCTAAGATTTAGCTTATATATTATTAATAATATATAAAATTTATGTTTGCTTGGAAACCTATAGTGATATTTGTTTTTAGAGAATGACTTATATTTTATTTTTTTAAATTAACATAATATACTAATAAAACTGTTTATTTGATAAAGAAAAAATTACAAGAAATATCATTTTTTTAAATTGATTGGATTTGTGTAAAATTTCATCAGTTATAAAATATGGATATAATACTAAAAAATAATTTCAAGGTAACTTTATCTAATATGAAATTTTACTAAAATTTATTTTTAGTCTTTATTATAATTAACCATTGTCTTAACACTAATACATTATTTTTTTAAATAAATATAATTAATTAAATAATGTAAAAATAAAATATTATGGATATATAATAGATTAAATTTTTTCCCTATATTTACTTATTTTACTTTTCATAAAATCACAAAATTATAAAAAAAAAATGTTAGCTTCTTATTTAATAATATTATTAATAGCAACATTATCTTATCTTACTAGCGGTAATTATTACCTTATATTAATTTTTATAATGAAATGTATTTAGAAAAGGTCTGTATTTTAGTATTATCTAACACTATTTACTCTCCTTTTTATCGTAGTAGGAAAAAAAATTATAGCCGGTAAATAAAAAATTGTTCTTCTAAATCACGCCCTCTCAAAAATCATATTTTTCTAAACCCCTTCAGGCCCGATCTAATTATTTTGTCGACTTTTAATAATTTAAAAATAAATCTTTTTATATAATAATAGTAATGATATTCCAAAATAGTGAATAATATAATCGTTTTGAAAATTATTCAAAATCATGTGTGGCTCAAAAATTATTCTAAAAGGATAAATTGGATTAGATATTTTATTTAAAATAATGTGCTTTTCTTAGATGTGGAAATAAATAGCTTTTCCCTATACATCCAAATATCTATATTGAAGCTTTGCTTTTTATACTTTCTTTAGAAAAACTTCATTATTAGTAATTTATTCATAAACCAAAATGATAAGCTGTGGGAAATCTGAACATAATATTTATTTTACATTATTTACTAAAATCAAACCTGTCATTATCACCTATATTGGGAAGATTCCCTATCTAGCCACATATATAATTTTAAATCTAGTTTATCTTATATTTATATCAAGTCTGAGAGTTTTTTTTATTATCCGTTCACTCAACACTTTTTTCGTTTTTGATTAATAATAACATCGATTATTATCATAATATTCATCAAAGGAATATTTATATAGATATAAATGTAAATTTTACTTGATATCATGTTATTACAAGATTCGTTGAAAAACACAATAATAGAATAAACATAGAACTTGATATACAGACTTAAATTTTTTAAAATTATTAATGAATTTGCCGTTGTCCGCTTTTGAGTCACGCCTAATTAATGTTTGCTGTAGAAACTGCTCTGTTTGCATGTGCTAATATTTGATTGTCTTACCCTCCTCCATAGAAAAAAAATTCGGGTTGGCCAATACTCAATTTATAATAACGGCTCCGTCGACCTCAGTCTAAAATGAGACAACTTTTTTTCATATAAGTTAATTTGTGACCACCTATATAAATTTATTAAAGTGTTTAAGTTTAGCAGAAAAAAGTTAATAATAAAAACATTTAAATGTATTAATTTTTCTGGCCAACCACGAGCCATCCGCATATGTGACTTTGGTATAAATAGAATAAAACTAAAATTCTCATTAATCTCTCTTTATGGAATAATCTAAATTAATATTTTATTATAGGAGAAGCCGATCCAGGGCTTTTAGACGAGCGAATTGAAAGTAATGCCTACATTAGATATCATGGTAAGAGTTATAATCTAATATATTATTAATTTTTCTTAAGGAATTGAAAATTTTTGTGCCAATAGATGTCAAAATTCTAACAATGAACATTGTAGAGTTTGCCAACCGAATTCACAGAAATAATCAAAATAATACCATGAATTTGTTAACATATTATTATATAATAAAGTCATTTTTTATTAAATATAATTCATAAAAATTGATAATATTATATAAACGATTTATAATTATATATATATGATTATAATTAAATATTGAATTTTTAATAAATTGGGCCAGTGAAATTATTATAGCCTGAAATGAAAAAGTATGAATAAGAACCAAGTAAACCACATTCTAACGACCGATTTTAATTGTTTTATTTTTTTGAAACAATTTTTTCTATTCAAAAACTTAAATAATTAGAGTTAAATTGGAATTAATTTAAATAAAATATCTTTAAAACTAAATCAATTAGTGGTATAACATATAGAACAGACATAACTGTTCCGGAAACATGGATAAAATATATATCTCAGGATTACCATAGACTGCCAGTGATACATGTACACTCTTAAAATGTGCTCAGTTATTTTGAAAAAAACAAACGAATGCCCCCGATAAAGGGATTCTGAGGAAGAAATGACGAAAATTTTAATTGAATTGTTTTAATCTAATAAAAAAAATTAAACTTATAACAAAATTTTGTAAAATTTAATATCGAAATGTAGATATATCTTGTATTAACCTAATAAAATTAAAAGTCAGATGTTTATAGAATAAATTTAAATATTATTTTTAGCAATTTTGTGAAAATAAAAAGATATATTTATATAAAGTTTAAACAAATTTTATAATTTGAAGTAAATCCTAAGAATAAATTTACTAAATGTCATATTAATAGTTTTATACATTGATTTAAACAATTAAGTTATATGATATTTTTTAAACTCTCGTGCATATACAACAAAAATGTGATGATTTATGTTTTTTTATAAAGGGATTTTATTTCGAGGTGTTATTTTCTTGGGGTTTTATTGGATATCATTTTTTAGATTTACTTTTCCAATTGCCTGATATTTTAATATCTATGGGAAAACAACTTGTAACTAATTGATAAAACGAGTAGCTCGTAATATAAAACCTTTATACTAAGGGGTGGGGATATCATAGCTTCATATAAATTATAATGGGTTTAGTTTCTTTATATCTTACTATGAGTATTAGGCACTACTATTTTCAGAACAGAAGTGATATCAATTTTTAATAAGCTGCTTTAAATTCAATTTTAATTTGTAACTAAAAGCCCCACCCCTCCAAATTTTATTCTTTCGTCTTCTAATTCTATAACTATACCTCATAAATTTCTCTTCTTACATTTAAAAAATTCAGCAGAATCAATAATGTATGAATAAATAAAACTTAGTCATACCTTTCCACCAGCACGAAGTGATTTTGTTCACAAACTATACTGGTTGTAAATCTTTGAAATCTAGTGTGACTTTTCTTTCTCATTGCGAGCATTTATCTTGTTAAAATTAAAACTGGTTTTAGCCTGCCAGCATAACATAATCTTTGAAAGATTTATGTAGCTAGCCTATATGATGTCCTAAGGATATTTCATAAATCAGTTTAATCTGTTTTAAAATCTCGCACAGATATTTCTCCTTGAGTGTATGAATGGTTCTTTTAAATTGGGCATTCTTTTGTCTTGAGGTGATATAGTGTTGACTCAGGCGCGTGAAGATCTTAATTTGCAGAAATTTATTTAAATAAATAATTAAGAAGGGCTAACCATTTTATATATTTTCTGAAGTAATACTTTTTATGTAAGTTATTCAAAGAAGAAAATATTCATTCATTGGTATAGAAGTAATAATGGGTAGAGTTGCCAAAATATATAATCATTTTAATATATATGGAAAATATTCCATAATGTGTTCGATATTATACAAAGCATCTCTACCGTTTTTTGGAACATAATTAACAATAATTAACTTTTTGTATCAGTTTGCATTCAACTATAAATACATCATGGGATACTTCAATATACTTACGATAGAAATTTGCTAAATATTTAATTGTTTCTCTATCAAGATTTGAAATAGATTCGGAAGGCTTCTTCGATAATAATATTTTCATATTTGTAGATGCTGCTTGATGAATCAAGAACCTTACATTCATTTAAGTCATAAAAGAATCCAAGAAGGAAATTAAAAGATTTATTTTCTAGTATTCTTCAATTGACACTAGATTAATATAATAACGATGTTCTTGTCTTGCTGCGAATCGAAAATGGCTAAGTTTAATTATTACTGCACTTTGTAATTGAGGAAGGGCGTAAGATTTCCGGGGAGAAAGGATTTAATTTTATATAAATTTGAACTTGCTAATGAACTTGTCTTTATTTTATTTTTTGATTGTAAAAATACATGCAAATAATTACAATTACAAAGTATTTGAAAGGAAAAACTATCAATTTATAATGTTACATATCATTATTTTGAAGGCCATGGTATTCTCTAGTTAATCATATACAAAACCAAAATTATTATTATCTTAAATCAAATCAAAAATATGAATAATATAATTATTAAAAAAACATTCTTGTTGTGAGCCTTCAATTTATTCTCAGATGATGAGGTCATATATTTTAACTTTAGTACCTTAGTCTTTAGGGAAATTTTTAAATAGGTTTTATATGAGTTTTTTCTTTTCCAAAAAATATCATCAGATAAAAGAAGATGATAACTTATGAAAAGCGGACTTTAAGTCTTATTTTTAATATAGAAGGTAAAATTAGAGCAATTACATATAACCCAAAGATTTTTTTTTGATTTTTTATAAAATAAAAAATACAATATTTTAGTTTCAACACTTAATCCTATTTTATTTGAATTATTTAACCAGTTATATGGTAAGACTATACCAAATATCAAAAAACTAATTAATTTCTTCTCGCATTGTTAAATTAGATATTTATACATATAATTTATATTGTTAAACTAATTAGATGGTTTTAAAAATTGTATTATAACATTATAGTGCTCAACAGTAACTTACCACCAAGATTTCTTTGATTCAATCAATGATGAAATTACTTATCTCAATCAAATATATTTTTAAATAGATATTGCTGCAAAACAATCATAATACAAGAACTTTATTGTGGCTTGCTCAACTTACCACCAAGATTTCTTTGATTCAATCAATGATATTCCTGCACAACAATCATTAATACAAGAACATTATTGTGGCTTGCTCAACACTAACATACCACCAAGATGTCTTTGATTCAATCAATGATGAAAATACTTATCTCAATCATATATAGTTTTAAGTTAATTTATCTACTTGATTTTAAAAATATTTTTAAACATTCCAAAATTCCACAATCATTTAAACCTCAAATTTTAATAAATTTTTCAAAAATATAGATTTTAAGTTAGTTTGTATTATATTTTTTAAAATATAAATTTTTATTTAAACATTACTCAATTATTCTTAATACAACAAAATTTAAATTTTGAATTTAATTTTATAACTTTTATTTATTTATTTTTTTTTTTATATTATTTTTAAAAAATAATATTTTTGAAAAGTTATTCATTTATACATACCCCCTACCCTCTTCTCCTTTTTTTTTTATTCTTCTAAAATGGGTATGTCAAGCATTTGTAATGCCTGCCATAGAAATATAGCCTTGACCCAAGCTATTTGTTTTTATAAACATGGGCCCAGGTCAAAACCATGTATAAACTCTGGTAAACCCCCTTCAAATGAAATTTTGTACAACAAAATTGAAACAACCCCCATTGTAATTCAAAATTTTTATCCTGATTTTTATGAGAATTTTTTAAAGTGGGAAAAGCCACCAACCTTAATCCACCTACCCCTTAAATCAAGGTCTTTAATTTCTAATTTTTTAACAACACTTATTATGGAAGTTAATTCAAATTTAAATTCCCTTAAAGCTTGGGAGAATCTTTTAACCTTTCCTTTTAAAGTCTTAATTAAACCTACAGATAAAAATAAAAAAACTATTTTGCATGAAAGTATAAAATATAAAATAGACCATTTTTATGATTTAGAAATGGAAAATTACGTTCCTGATGTAAGGGCTACATCTGATTTTGCCCATAAATGTAAAATTATATCAAAAAAAATAGACCAAGGGGACGTATGTGGAGCTCTTAAATTAGCTTCATCTAATGATAAATTGGCTCCATTTGATGAACATACTTTTACTTTATTAAAAGAATTGCACCCTCAGGCTTTTCCTGAAGATCTTCCCATCCCTATAAAATCTAACTTAATCGAAATAGGTAAGGAAGAATTAATTAAAACAGTTTTATCTTTTAATAAAAACTCTGCAGGGGGAATTGACGGTTTTCGCCCCTCTTATTTCCAATTTTTAATTAACCCTAAAAATCCTTATCAAGATTCATTTGTAAATTCATTGATAATACTTAGTGAAAATAAATTGAACAATGATTTACCTAGTCAAATTCACCAAATTATTTTTGGCGCAAGATTAATTGCTTTTTCTAAGCCTGATGGTGGAGTTCGGCCAATTGCAATAGGGTCTTTTTTTAGGAGACTTTTAGCTAAGATAATCGTTGAGCGCATCAAACCTGATGCTTCAAAAATGTTCCAAACATATCAACTAGGCTTTGGTACTAAAGGGGGATGCGAAATAGCAGCTCACTCTCTTCGCATATATATCGAAGAGGTATCACGTCATTTCGGCGCGGAAAATTCGGCGCACGACAATTCGGCGCAGAAAACTCGGCGCGGCGTCAATTTACGGCGCATCGTCAATTCAGCGCGGCGACAACTCGGCGCAACGTCAATTCAGCACGGCGACAACTCGGCGCAACGTCAATTCGGCGTGGCGTCAATTCAACGTGGCGTCAATTCGGCGCCACATCAATTCAGCGCAACGTCAATTCGGCGCGTCGTCAATTCGGCGCGTGTATCTATTACAGTTTGCAATTTATTATAAATTTATTAGCATAAAAAAAGGATGATTAAATAGAAATGATTTTGAATGTTGGTCATATTAATTATTTCTTCGTATTTTTTTTTATAAAAATCTCAATTTTATT